ATCCTGTGAAGAGAAATGGCAGGAAATGAAGATGGCTATTTGTCACATTTTACGACAATAACATTAATAACAAACAATAAATTTACATGGACATATAAGGCGCGGTAGGTAGTGAGAAATCCCTTCTACTTACAGTACCCCAGCCCGCGGTGTGGCTCCAGCTGCGGGGCTGTTTTACTGATGCCTCCCTTTCTTTTTCTCTCTCTCTCTCTCCCTCTCTCTCTCTTTTTCTCAGGGTACAGGCTTGTTTTTCAAAGGACAGTTGAATTGGACGTCAGAAACAGGGAGACCGAGCCTGCGATTTTCCTGACGAATACATATCTATTCTGCAACCTCGGCATTAATTATTTAATGAATCACGTGACCGGGAGGGGGAAGGGGGTCTTTCGATTTCAGGCTCAAAGGACCACTATGACCTTCCCCTTCAGGAGGAGAAATTTTCCTGTAAAATAGGTCCCCCCCAGCCTACCAATGGAATAGTAGCAAGGTCTCGCTCCCACAAGTACATCTCTACACACTCTGCTTATAGCTCCCTACCCCCACAGCACACACTTACCCACAGCCCACCTCTCCTCTCTCCCTTCTCCTCCTGCCTCTGCCTAGTTCCTAGAAGTGCAGAAATAGTCTGCAGGGGCGTCAGGGTGGGGGTGGGGTGGGCATAGAGCCCTTCTCGGAGCCCCTGATTTTTCTCAGCTTCCTAATTGTATCCTTTTGAATTGAAATTCCCCTTCCAACTCCATTCTGTCCCCCAGTATTTATTTTAGCGGGACCCACTCTCTTCTAACTCATCAAGAGTGCATCTAAGGGAACCCTACAGAACAGGAAGGCTCTCTGCAGGTTCTTGCTGGTTATATGTACCAAGAGGGGGGCTTCTTCAGGCTTTAATTCACCTTTTGATCTTATGTGGTGTACCTTCCTTTGAATGGCCAAGAGCAGAGCGAGGAGGTGATTCTGGAGCTCCCAGGATAGAGAATAACCAGAAGGGGGACTTTTCCCCCCTAAGCATTGTTACTACCAAAGGGAACTAGATGCTGCTGCTGGTGTGATAATAGGCTTCAGAGACAAAGACCTAGGGACCAAGGATTCCATACAAAAGAAGTAGACACCCAGACTCTACCTATGTCAACCCCATCTCAGTCTCTGGAACACACCAGTGAAGATACTGGAGAACAAGAGGAATAAAACAGGAGGGGGAGCATTGAAGCCTGCCTGGCAGCCTACGGTCTGTATTTCCCAGGTGTTACTGTCCTGGGACTTCCAATCAGCAGACAATGGAGATTGATCAATGAGGAAAAGATGGGGATGATACTGTTAAAGTGTTCAACATTTGGATGGGATTTATCTCGGCCCTGGGAGGGGGCGCGTGTACAGACTCTTTCCCTTCAAGAATAAACAAAACCAAACAACCCCCCAAAGTTCACAAGTTATAAGTGAATCTGAGTCCACAGTTGGGTGCAGGGGGTGGGGTGGAGGGATGCAAGGGAAGTAGAAAGGCATTCCTAAGAGCCCCGCGCTGCACATTCCCAGCCTTATCTACTTCAGCAGCTCTGGGGTAGCTGCGACCAGGCCGACAGGGCATCCGTGTGATGGAGAAAAATAAAGGCAATAGGGTAGCTGAGCGGGGGCGGGGGGTGTTGAGGGGCCTCTGCTGGTTTGTTTAAAAAGGTCTGAACCAAAAGCGAAGACAGTTGAGGACCTCTTCATGTAACACCCCAAAGAAACAGTCTCCCCACGTGTTCCACGGAGGTTTCGAGGCAGCAGGACCCCTGCGGAAAGTACTGGAATCCTGCCCCAGCCCCACGGGGAGGGGGCGCCGGCAGGGCCCAGACTCTGTAGGGGGGTTAGTCGGCTTTGATTGTCCAGATACTGAACACAGACTGGTATTGAATTCAGCCTGATGCTGATGTAGGCCGGCTCCCGTCTCCTGCGAGGGCAACAGTCTACAAGGTCCCTGGCTACAAATCCATTAAAAGGAAAATGCTCCCCCAAAGACAAACGGGAGGGGGAAGTGTGTGTGTGTGTGTGTGTGTGTGTGTGTGTGTGTGTGTGTGTGTGTGTGTGTGTGTGTGTTTGTGTGTGTGTGTGTGTGTGAATGAATACACTGGAACATGAGGAAATGACAATCTTTAAAACCCAAGACAGCTATCCTTAAAACGGAGAAATTATATTTAAGAACAAGAAAAAGGAGAGCCCTGCGACAGGAAGGAGAAGCCAGCCAGGCTGTTAAAATGCGCACACTCTTCGGATCCTGGGAAATGTCCACGTTCAAATAAACAAGCGCCCGAGCGAGCGCGAGCTGAGCGCTTTCTTGCTGCCGATAAAGCGAACGTTTAGACTGCGAAAAGCGAGATTGATTTACGAATCTGAACGCGCCGGTTTTATGGCGGATCACAAATCCGTCAGCGCTCAACTCACGCTGGGAAACTTCCCAACTCCGTTTTCCAATCAAACCCGCTCACAGTCACCGCTTCCCAGGGAGACCCACCAGGCGCTGAAGTCGCCTCCAGGGCCCTAGTGGAACTCCACAGCCTCCTGTCCTGGCTGGCTGGCAGGCAGGCCACAGAATTAAGAGAGGGAGTGCAAAGGCCCCAGAGCTGAGGAAGAGGTCAAAAGATTGGAAAGCCTCACTCGGAGGGTGGCCACTAGATCTGGAGCAAGTGAGCCTTGTCAACTCCAAAAAGGGTTAGGTCTGGAAATGAGAGAAAGGGGGAGTCTTAGAAGGTGAGCCTAGGGAAAGGAAAGCCTTTGGTGAACCCCAGCCTTTCCCCTCGATAGTTCCTTTTTTTGGTTTACCCCTAATTCTCAAAGAGCAGTTTAGAGAAGTTCTACATGACTAGATCTTTGTCACTTGTGCCTGGAGAGGGCCCACAATCAGCTATGGGTGTGGTATCTATACTGGCAGTAAGCAAAGGTAGGTCATTAGCAGGCCCAGACATTTTCAATATTCAAGTGGCCCAGTCCACCTCTTTGCCCACCCTCTTCCTTCCCGAGGTCCCAGTTCCTGCATCTATGCTACCCAGGGACAAAGAAAAGACCAAGCACCCCAGTGTCTGAGTCCCCAAAATACAGGAAAACATTTATTGTGAGCCAGCAACACCTCACATACTCTCCAGCAAAGCCCAGGCTCTACCTTTCTTAATTTAAGGAGACTGGCCCCTCTTCCCAGCTGGAAAAAGGTCTCTCCCTCCCCACTCTCCACCCCTCCTTTCTTCCCTCCCCTTTGATGGGAGCTGCTGATATGGGTGTTGAATATGGAAGATAGAACATTGATTATTTCGGGGTATCTATGATGGAGCTTCCCTTCTTAGCAAATCTTCTTCCATCTGTCTCTTAACGTGTAAAGTTTCTGCAAACTTTGGTTAGCCCCACAGAGTGGGCCCTGGAAGCCCTCAGAGCAACCTGCAACAGTCCTCCTGCCTTTTCTCTTGCTCTTCCCTTTGCTGAGGCATCCAAGGAAATAGCTTCATAAACAAAAGAACTTCGGAAGATGGGTTGAGAGACTATAGATTTGAAGGGAGGGAGAGAAGGAGGGAGGGAAGGAGGAAAGGTGGGAGGGGGAGAGAGAGAGAAAGAGAGAGAAAGAGAATCTCCAAAGGAATGTTCATTTCTCTCCAGCTCAGGAGCTTATTCCTGATGGTCTACAGCCCCGTGGACAGTGTGTGTCTAGCCTCTGATAGTGTATCCTTTAGTCCCTTTTCCTTCAGCTTGCTTTAGGCAAAGCTAAAAAAGAGAGGTACAAATGGACTTGGGGTAGGGGAAGAGGCTGAAACCCAATCTAGGGAAGGGACTATGTACAGACAGACCAGCACCCTACCCCCCCCCCACACACACACACACACAGAACTTCTGGGCTAACTTACAAAACAAACAAAAAAAACTGTAAGAAAAAAAAAGCACTTTTCTTCCAAGTCTACAATAATAGAAAAATGATCCAGAAATTCTGAGATAGCAAATGATTTAGGCACCATTAGGGGGGTGGAGAAGCTGGAACCCCTCCCTGAAGAGGTGTGACTTTCCCTCTGGGGCAGGAAGCAAGAGCTAGCACAATGTCCAGTCTCAGAGAGGTCAAGGGGCTTCCGAGGTCATTTTGTGGTTCTAATACCAAGCTAATCGCCTAGAAAACGTGGCCTCTCCATGAACTCTCTATCCTGCCAGCCTCCCGCCTCCAAACTCCAAGTGAGGCCTCAGGGAAAAGGGGCCAGCACATTCAGGTCTGCTGAGGAGCCACTGATTCCCCAGCCTGAGGAGTAAGGCCAGGGGAAAAGAGCAGAGCCTCCAAACCCAGAAGCAAAAAGAAAGGAAAATGAACACTGAGCCTCCAGGAGGCCTGGAGTGTGGGGTGGAGTGGGGTGTGGGGTGGGGGGCAGGACAAGAGTATTTCTGTGCCAGTGCACCTGGCCCTGAGCAGTATCTCCTTTTCAGAGGGTAAAAGATTGCCCAAGCTAGACACCAGAAGAAAACCCAATCATCCACTTCTCCCAGCTCTCAGGCACCATTCAAGACCAGGATTTCATTTTTCCAGGAGGCTACAGTGACAACATCTCACTGGTAAACAGTGCAGACAGAGTCCCAGAAATACGGAATTGTGCACCTTGCTAGACACAGGCTCAAACAGGCACATACAGGCTCTCCCCAATGCCTGCCTGCATTTTTCAAGAACCAGAGAGCACTACTGAAGAGCCTCACAAACAACCCTCTTCTCTGGTGTTTTTCAGGGGCCCTGACGCCTCTGTCCCAATCAGTTCAAACACTCTCCAGGTGTCCAGGCCTCTCTCCACCTCTGTCTCTGTCTCTTCCACTCTCTCCCAAACATCAGTCATCATAAAACACAGCCAAATCTGCCCAAGCATCCACCATTTAAAAAAAAAAAAAACCCACAAAGATAGTTGAAAAAGAAAAAAGAGAAGGTGAGATTTTTTTTCTTTTACTTGTGAAAGGAGCTCATAAAACGATTAAAACACAAAAAAGACAAAAGTCACCCCAAGCCAGGGCTTTGTTACCTTCTGTGCCTCTTGCCTGCTCTCGCCTGAGCGCCTGAGCTCTCCTGGTCCCATTCATGACGAAAGCCTTCTTCCAAACTGAGAGAAAAAAGTTTTCAACTTTATGGTTCCAAAAATTTTCCCCCTTGCAGATCCGGGAGAGGCGGCTAACACTTTTTTCCCCCAACAGCCGGTCTACGGAGATTTGCTGTTGAATAATAACAAAGGAGAGAGGGTAGTATTTAAAGAAAAGAAGTGATTAATGGTTTTCTGTATAATTCTCACATTTTTCTTAGCTCTTGTCTACACAGAATGGCTGTGAACTTTAAGCTCCATAGAAATCTTCGTCATCGTCTTCTTCGTTTTCTTTTCTTTTATTTTTTTCTTTTAAGGTTCTATTCATACCTTCTAAGGAGCAGATTGATTCGATTCTTTACAAACATTCCTGGGAGGAGACCTTATGGTTTTTGAGAACTATTTTCCCCCTCAACTAAGGGTTGTCTTATCTCCTCAAAACTAAAACATTATACCACACCCGAGACAAAGCTAACCCACTCATCCTCCTCCGGGTCTACAGGCAACTCTTCTTTCTTTCTTTCATAATTTCTTTTTTTTTTTTTAACTAATCTCTGGGTTGCACTTTAACGGGCAATTCTACTGCCCTGGGGATATTGGCCCAATGGATTCTCTGGCCTTCCTCAGACTTCTGCAACCCTCACAGGCTAAGAAAGAAATGCAAAATAAACAACAATCAAACATGTGGATGGTATTGGCTCTTTATTTTCTGAAAAGAAGTGGGACAAAAAAAAAAGCCAAAAACAAAAATGAAACGACTTTTAATTGCATATGCTCTGTGGAGCCTGGAGCTTCTTGGAGAAGAATGTGGCTGCATCCTGAGCCATCACCAGATCATGGACCCAAGGCTAGGGCTCCATACCTTAGAACTTCTTGCCTGTACTGCACAAAAGTGACCCAAACCTGGCAGAGGTTTGTGAGAATCACCTGGATCCCTTCCCCCACTCCATTCTAGGGTAATTGGGATCTCAGACACAGACAGCTATTTGGTCCCCAGCCTTACTTTCGATACTTTCTATGAGAAAGAAAATGAAAATTAATACAGGAGCAGGGCTTCACAAAAGAGGCCATTTGTCTTCTTGATTATCTATTTGCTTGTCAGAGTTTGAGCTATGGCACCGGCTAGTTCCTTTGTAATATAAAAATACTCTGAAAACCTGAAAACACCCAGAAACATCTGTGCAAAAAATTAGACTCATTAAAGCCTCAAACACCTCAGAGGAGAGCGATACCTTCTTATGTGGGGAGGAAAGAGGCCGGCCTCGTGGAGTCCTCGCTCGAACTTTAATAAGCAAAGAGCCTTCTGTCTAGAAGGAGACAGCTTAACTGCATTTTATTTGCTTATGACAAATAAATCACAGTCTGAAAGACTTAGCGCTCCTTAAGCCTCTGGTGTCTTACAATGAAACACACACCCCCATTGGGGCCTGGAATTGACCCTCTCAGTCCATGCGATCCATTTTTGGACTGGAGGGGAAAAATTTTTAAGCCTCAAACAAAACACATCCACTCCAAAGGGAAAACAAACCAGCTACCACGATTTGGAAGGCTCTAAGGTGGAAATTCCCATTGGAGCCTTTAAAACAAAACAAACAAACAAACAAGCAAAAAAAAAAAACCCGCTTAAGGTAGGGCCAAACCCACTAAGGGTTCTTAGCATATACACTGGGCAGCACTTGTTCATATCTTTAAGATCAACATTCCAACAAAAACACCATGTGATGGTCACAAGAAACCAAACATTTATTTTTGTTGTCACTCTGTACAGGACACAAATTTTCACACCAATGAAAGGCTCTAGGCTCAGGCAGCCCCAGAGGTAGGAAGGGGCCTGGTTTGGAATGTCAGAAAGATAACAGGAGAGAGGACACACATGACATAAAATAATAATAATAATAATAATAATAATAATAATATTAATAATAAACGATGCAACAGCGATACCAACGGGAGAAGGCTCTGCAACATTGTCCTTCCAGAGTAGGAGGGCCACAGAATTTCATTTCCTAATTTCACATTCATATGTAATCTAAGAGAAGGCCTCTGCTGTAGAACTGTGGATTGGCCAGAAGACATTCCCAGCTCCTAGAACTCAACTGCCTCCCACCCTGGCAGGCCTGGCTGGACCTTCTACCAGAAGGCCCTCCTGGGTGTCTAAATTTCTCTCTCTTTTTAAATTTATATTTGTTGGGTTCAGATTCCGAAACCCACGTTGTGAAGACTGCCCCTTGCTTCCCTTCTGCTCCCCCTTCTAAGCCTATGATGGAAGGGGGTGAGCAGTCATCCCCCCCCCCAAGGTGGGCACCTACAGGGAGAGAAGTTGTGTGTGTGTGTTTGTTACCGTGGCCAAAACACTGTGCTATCTGGCAGTCAGAGGGTGCACCATTCGCTGGGTGTCAGGAATAAGGGACAAAGAAAGAAAATCCAGGCTGCGGTCCAGCAGCGGCAGCAGCAGAGGCGGCAGCAGCGGCCGGCCGAGCCCGGCCTCATTTGTTAGCGAGTGTCGAGGTAATGGTCGCCACCGAGGCTCGTCCTCTCCTCGGCAGAGTAAACAAGACAGATGGGCCCGGGCCTGGCATGATTAAAGATGAACCGTGGATCCATCTTCACCAAAGCTGAAAACCAGGCGCAGCAGCCTCCTCTATTTCTCTTTCTGTCTTTTCCTTTCTTCCTTCTTCTTTCTTTTCCTTTCTTTCTTTCTTTCTTTTTTTTTTTTTTAAGGAAGAAAGCAAGAGACTTGCTTCCGGAGGGCTTCACCCGGCTCCCTATTGTCGTTTCTATAAATAAGGCTTCCCTACCCCCCTTCTCTGCGTTTATTCCTTATAGATAAAGTGGGGGTAGGGTAGATAGGTTTTTCTGGGCTCAAGCCTGGGGACCCTCCCATACCCCGAATTCCCCTTCGGTGCTCGCGGCCCCCCCGCCCCCCCCAGGTTCGAGCTCCTGCTTTGCCCCCCCCAGGTTCGAGCTCCTGCTGTGGGGAGCACTAGAGTGAGGGGGGGCCTCCATTAGGCCGGCCAGGGGGTCCTCCGGCTGTGCCCGCGGTGCCACCCGAGCGGATCTTGGTATTGGGCAACTTGTGGTCTTTTTTCCACTTCATGCGTCGATTCTGGAACCAGATCTTGATCTGGCGCTCAGACAGGCAGAGCGCGTGGGCGATCTCCACCCTCCGGCGCCGCGTCAGGTAGCGATTGTAGTGAAACTCCTTCTCCAGTTCCAGGACTTGCTGGCGAGTGTAGGCGGTCCGAGAGCGCTTGGGCTCCCCGCCGGAGTAATTGGGGTTTACTGGACACACACAGAGAGGGAGAAAGAGAAAGTTTTATTGCCCCCGAAAGGGAGGAGGGAAAGCCCTTTCTTTCTTCCAGCTAACTTCAAACCTCCTGGTCCCACCACCTCATCTTGGAGGGAGGGGCGCGGAAAGGGAAGACAGACATAGGGACACACGAAAAAGGAAAACCTCAAACTTTTGAAAGGCTAGCTGTCGTCCTTGTTGCCTGGGGGAGGGAGCACTGTGAGGAATCTTGGAAAGATTTCATCTCACTCTTTGGCCTGAGGACCCCGGGTGGGAGAATGAAGGGTGGAAGAGGGAGGGGTGTTGCCCTAGACCTTTCCTGATTTTAGTCCCCACCCTCATTGCTCAGATTCCCAACAGCGCCTTCTTCCCAGTAAAAACTTTTGCCCATTTCTCCAGCGAAGGAACCAGGCTGGAAGAAAGGGAAAAAAGAAATACTGGAAGTTGATTCAACCCTCTGCTTAAATACGGATTACTACCTCCTCCTCCTTCCCCTCCCCTCCTCTCGCACCCCTCCCCAACTTCCCAACTTCAGTGGGACTGCATATCCCTGGCGGAAAAAGTCGCTGGGAGAATGGAAAAGAGGATGACTTCAAAGGCGCAGGGCCCACCAGGCCATAAAAATTTATGGGCGGTGTAATTATGTGGCTCTGAAAACAGGAGACCGTAAATCTCTGGCAATGGCGAGTTTATAGCGGGGACAATTGGCTTCCCCCAGCTCCCTCCCCCACATGCCTCGGAGGTCCCTTCGCTGTAAAGCGCCGGGGGTGGGAGGGGAAGGGGTGCCCACGCACTCACCCGTGCTCACGTGAACTTTGCGCATCCAGGGGTAGACGACGGGCTCTTTGCACGCGGAGTGGGACGGACTGGGATGCAGGGGGTTCTGGGCGCAGGGAGGCGGCGGGGGACTGCTGCTGACCGCCTCGC